TCCTAACCTTACTGATAATGCTCTCGTTTTAGATAACGGTGCCGCTTTGATTTAATTCTCAGAAATCAGCGGCAGCAACTACTTTAGCCAGCGTTGATCGCGTTTAAACTGCGTTTAGAGAAGTCGGCAGCTGTTGTCGTTACACATAAAGCAACGTCAGCAGTCAGTGAGGCTGTGCTGTGTCTACGTTACTGTCAGTGAACGCATCACCGCTCTCTGTGTGAGCCAATGACTTCCATCTGCTCTGTGTCACATACAGCTCCCAGGGCTGCAAGCATGGACCAAGAAAACAACTCGGAGGTTGGTAAAGAAAGACGTTTTATTGGTCTGGCTGAAAAATAGGGTGTTTTATCAGGTGGGAGATAGCTGCGTCAGCCTCTGAGTTTTTAGAGTGATGTAACATAGTCTCTGTTGTTTCTCAATTGCCACTTATGTGAAGCTGCCCCACCTTTCTTAAACTGACTTGACTTGAGCAATAAGAATAACATTTTAATCTGCTGCTGATGTAAATAAGCCCACTATATTTAACTTTGTTGTTTCAATGTCTCACAGGACGATTCAATCGGCCCTTCGGGGGACGGAATGCCGTGTCTACCTCCAGATCTTTGTGAGTTCTTGTTTCTTTTTTATCCCTCTAAACATAATGTGAGAACAGTATTTCATGAGACAATGTATGTAGTTCCCTATCTTTAAGGGACCACTTGTTGTGAAATATCGTCTCACATTCATAACTTTTTATTACGAATATTTGAATGAATAAAACTGAATGTAATCCGAGACCAATGAATGCATCGGTATTAGGGGGGAGGGGGGGGGGCATTGCAACAGGCATGCCATTATTATTGAAGTAGATCTAAAATAATAATAGTAATAACTTCAAGTAGCTTTCTATTGGTAAAATAGTAAGAACTCTATTTTTTGTCATTTAAATGCACATGCTAAGGATTATATTAGTGTATTCCTCTCGAAGCTACTTTTTAAATGTAAATTTCTACAATTTAGCATAGTGCATTATGTACCTTCCCTCACATAATATAATGGTTATAGTAAGACATAACTTTAATTGTTATGTCAGTTTAATAAACTTTTATCCCTCTCCTGTATAGCGGATGGTGAAGCAGTGGAGTTGCTTTGGCAGTTGCGAGCCCAGCGCCGCCAGTCGTCTCCTGAACTCCCAGAGACGGTGTCTCGTCTTACTGCACCAGATGGAAGCATCTTATACCTGGTGGGCACTGCCCATTTCAGTGATAGCAGCAAAAAGGACGTAGCCACGGTGAGCCAATGGGGGGGGGGTAAACAGGACTGTTACAGAGCAGGAAGCCACTTAAACTCTTTTAAAATGTGATATACTGTTAATGGGAGGTGAAATTTTATGTGTAATTCTGTGAGTGTGGAGAAGCACTTTAACATAGGAAAACTGATAATGAGTAGGCTCACATATTTAAATGTCATTTCTTTTTATTTTCTTGTTTTGGCAAGTATAATCTCACGTTGATTTCTCTCGTGCTTGCTTCTTTCATAACTGTTCATTTGCTTTGACATTCCAGTCTTCTGCTTTCTTATTCTGTACTTGTCTCTTGATTTTTCACACCCGCTGTGCTCCTTCCCCTGGTGCAGACGATCCGAGCTGTGCAGCCAGACGTGGTCGTGGTGGAGCTGTGCCAGTATAGGGTATCGATGTTGAAGATGGACGAGAATACGCTGTTAAAGGAAGCCAAAGACATCAATCTGGATAAGGTTCAGCAGGCTATCAAACAGGTCAGGA